ACTAAAAGCCAGTATCCCTAAGCCTATTGCTATACCCGAAGCATGACTAGAACTGCTTTAGCTCATAGCGAAGTCTACGCTGGAGTACTGTGCAATCATCCACAGTCACCTACGTAAAGTAAATAAAATAAACCTAGAAAATATCCCACAGCTCATACAGAAAACGCTAAATGGACGATGTAGCGCCAACTAAGAAACAATCTATTATTCCTAGAGAACATCATACATTCTCGGATATAAACTACCGGAGCAGCCCTTACATTGCAAATTTTGTCGACCTACCCCACACGAAATAGATACTCAACATCGACCTAACAAAAAGTGAGGTTGAAACTCCTTTCAAACTTTTTCCTGGAAAGGTATACTCTCATCTGCGGAACAAGCTGCTAATACAAGTGTGGGCAAGTGAGATAAAAACTATATTAAAAAGGAATTTGCAAACTTTTCTCACCAGGCGGAATATAGTGAAAACACTCGGTTTTCAAGTGCCTACAGATGTGTTAACAGCAACTGGCCCAAACAATATATGACAGATGATGCAGTCTCGCCTCATCTCAGCAGACCATTTACTCTACTCGGAAATACCAACCTTGAAATAATGAACTGTGTAACTTACTTCTCACGTGTCCAGATGCATCAGAAATGCTGCTTGGCAATGCCAACATAACAGTTGAACACAATTCAATAACACGACCAATAGTACAATTGGCACATTGCCACAACGTATAGAAAATACAATAAACAAACGAAGGGAGAGGATATGAAACGGCGTTCATGGGAATACAGTCACAACAAGTCAGCCATTGCGCACGGTTCCTTGCCATATCTGAGAGTGTTTCCAGCCATGCACGTTTCGGATCCTTCACACTCCAGCCAGGGAGCCGAGAGCGTCAGATCATGGCTAACTTTGAAATTAGCTCTTTCATGATCCTGGCCCAAATCATACGTTGGCCACCTTGATTTCGCATCCAGCCGACTTCTGCGCGCGCGAAGAGAACACGGCGAGGTAAGCGATGAATAGGCATGCGAAGAACCAGTCCACGTCACTGGTCTGCGCAGAGAAATTATGCTGCTCAGTGGCTGGTGATTTCTGTCTGATATGAAAATCCTTCTTTGGACATCTTCATTACTAGTGTCATCTTGCTATTGTACACCAGCGGTAATCAAAAACAGACAGCCCCTCAACATCGTTTGCGCGAATAGGCAAAGTCTCGCAGACAAAGAGCAGAACCGCTCTCACTGTGACATTGTAAACTCGACCCTTCAGAGATGGACTCAGATCGTTCGTTGCCAGAGATGGCGGAGATTGGCAAAAGTAGCCCAAGCCTTGGAGACGCGCAGAGACCTCAGCCACCATTAGCGCTGAGGCAGCTGCCGAGGCAAACGAACTTATCTACCAGTTCCAATGAATGACCTAAACGGGTAATGGTAGGAGCAGCGTCTAACAGGCACGTGTTGAAAGGCATAGCCAACTGAGACCCTGTGTCATCTTACATTGGCGCTACTATTTCGGTTACTCGGCGAATGGAGCCTTACAGCTACTCCTACAGGTGAAGACTAGTACGAAACGCGAACTGTACACATCTCTCACTCAGTCCGTAAAACGTGTGACAATTCATTCGGACATTCAAACCTGATAGTTTTCACCTTCAGGTGCGTGCAGAAAGGAGAAACCAACCGAAATGATTTACCTTTCTCATGTCAACAATACCGTTACAATTACATAGCCATACAAAATAAATCTCCACTGCAAGCGAAAAGAAGAAGGAAAGCCACTGAGCCTACCTAGCCACTCCGTAGCTTTGGTCACAGGCCAAAAGGGTCGCGTACCTCGATTGTAATTGTAATGAACGTTCGAATACGCATTTGTGTGGGCGACCTCGCGCTACCGGTCGTAGTTGCTTGGCAGCTAAGTGTTGGAATTATGTGCCCGCGTACTGCTGATGCCTGCCTTTGTATACATTTTGCTCGAGCATGCCAATCTGACAGCGTTTTAGGAATGGGCAGTAACTTTACCCTGCTCCAACTTTTCCATGGTGCATACTCCCTTATATTACTCGGCTATTGCAGCGGAAGCTTGGAAGACTCTTAAAAAAGCCACAATGATGTAGTAAACCAAACTTCTCCTTTTTTCATCACTGCAGTCCAAATTCCCCAAGTATAAGAAATTTACCAATCACAAAGAACTCGCCACGTACTACTTAAGCCCTTTAAGCTAGTCTTCACCTACGAGTATTACTTGTCTCGTTTTGTCAAGCTCAGAAAAATAACCACAAAGCTGCAAGCAAGTAATTATTTTTTGAATAATTCTTCCTCAAGCTTATACATTAATAAACAGTAGGATAAAGTTGGTCGTAATCGGTAGCATAGCAAGGAATTAATTAGTTAGGTTATTCAACTTGTGGTTATGACGCCAGTGGTCTGTACGCATGATTGAAATCAGGTCAGTTTGCGGAGTCCAGTCACTTCCTTTTCATCTAATGATCGGTCACGTGAGTTGCAGAGACTGTGCCATTTTTGTTGAACACAGACCGGGACTTGTTAGCCGTGTGCGTACTTCCTCTGCAATGGTAAATAGGCTTGATCTTACTCGATGTTTACGCCTAGGCGGTATTCTGTATAGACTCTGGGAGGACGTCTGTCTGACTATCTGGTGACCGGTGTTGCTCAGATGGACGGTAGTTGAGCTGGAACTTGTCCTATATCCGTGATTGTGGGATCAATTTGGAATGCGTTCTGTGATTCGCTACCTAAGTGAGTGGTCACACGTCGAACGTGAGCCCGGTAACCAGCTGATTTTGGTTGACGTCTCCAAATGTTTCTTAACATTTCATGAACCAACCGTCATGTTCCCGCCGATATGCGCCGTAAACAAATAACTGCGAATGCCCGTAAACTGGAGGAAAATTACTGAAAGCCTCAAACGAATTCCTTCACCAAAAAGTCCCTATTGCATCCCTGAACAAGCCTCAACGACAGGCAGCTCTGCATGCGCGAGCACGTTACACATGTAAATACAATACGTTCCTTTGTAGGCACGGTTTCTTGGTGCTATGAGGAATATACATTCGCTATGTTCAATTTTTACTGATAACGCGACATCGGCCCGAGGTGTTTAGAAGCATAGTAACGGTGACAGTAGACTATAACGGAAAACCAAAGCACGAGAATCTTAACCAAATATCAGGATGCCAACTAAGTGGTGGCAAGGGCAGGCAAATATGGGGGTACACAGAGTAGACTGCAGATAAGTGAGAAGATTACATGAAACTAGTTGTGGATCCTTATGAAAGAAGCGTCGCCAGGACAAAGCGCTCTCAAAGCGAGTTTCCAAGAACACTGAAATGATAAACGCATCTGCTTGCACGTGTTCAGAAAGAATTATAGACTGGTGTGTGTGGTGTTTCGACGGTCCAGAAGCCATGGACGATTGTGCAAGTCACACGATCTGGAACGCTTAGCCTTGCGAACAGCAGATGGTCTCTCTAATCGAGAACCGTTGCATAACATGCCTACTGGTTTTAACGGCTGTCGGCATCGACTATTTCGCACCACAAATGGTAAAAGAAAAACAAACAACGGGAAAGTGGTATGATTGCACATTCACTTGTCCCTCAATGAGAGCTGTACATATCGAATTGACGCACGCTATGGATACGGACTCCGTGTGCGCCTTTTCGAGACATACTTCAAGTGGTGTAGACGGTTAAACGGGCAGAGCTTCCGAGGAACGGAAAGTCATAGTTAGATCTTAGAACAAAGAGCAGTTGTACCAGACATTAAGCGGAAAGAATTGCAAGTCACTGTGGCGGTACGTGGGGACGCCTGATCCAATAAATACGAATAGTGCTTAGAGTAGTGTTCGGTAGGCAGCTTATCAACCACGAAATTCTTCTGACAGTAGTGACTGAAGTGGAAAGTACATTAAACTAGAGAACTCTGGTATCCGATCCCGGACATCCCAACGAGTTCGGCACTATATCGCCGAGTCAATTATTGACCATAACAACTGACGGGATCCTGGACACCGAACAGACAAATCGTCCGAGCCGATGGAGGAAACAGTAAAGTTAAGTCCAGTGGCTGTTCGAAGTCTTTCGGAAAATATGGTTACTATAGTAGTTGCACACCATACAGGATTGTTAAAAGTGTCACGTAAAGAGGCACTGTCTAGGGACAGGTGATCTAGTTCTAAACCCAGGTCCGTGGCCAAAGGCCACAATCGAAGAAGCGAGGGTTAGGCGCAACGAACTGGTTCGAGAAGTTCTAGTACCTACGTTTCGCAGAGACGACCGCAGGGCCAGACGGGCCGGTTAGATAGATGTTGTCAACTCACCGTTAGCGATTACTGTAGTAACACAAATCAAGCAACGGAGTGCATGTGTTTAGTCATGATGACTAATGTCACCGGGGCAAAAGTAACCACAGATGGTGGAAAAACAAAAATAAACATAGGTATAGTAAGAAAAGAGATCAGGAAAAGGGAGAAAAATGATAACTGGATGGAAAAGTCAGCAGTGAAACTAAAAAGACACCATGCACCAGGGTCGCACACAACAAAGTAAGCGTGCTAGGTGGAAGAAAATAGTGAAGCCTCGATGTGACTGACCCGCTCTGTTCAAGTACCTATGTTCATTTACACAAGCCGTTAAGTAAATCAATCTTACTCAGCCAAAGAAATCCACAAATCGAAGATATGTTGCATTACACCCTGGTTTTGGGGGAAACGGTCGAAAGCAATAACCGTGTCCGTAAGATGGATAGTGTGAAGCACCGCAAGATTTTCGGATAGTGAACGATACATTATTTGTTATAGCAACGGTACGCAGCAAGTGCACGCGTTAATCTGCATTCAATAACTGTTTCCACTAACAGTGAGCTAAGAATGAAACAAGCCGAATCAGTCACTGTGAACAAAAACTACGGTTGTTCACGGGACGTTATTCAGCTGGTGCGGCGCAAAAGTTGAAAAAAGAGACAGTTAAGGAGAACAAGCTCACCTGAACTATTTCATACAAATATGTCAATGACTCTTGGAGAAAAGAACCGGCGACGAATATACCGAAGCTGAAAACGACACCCAGTGTTGAATCAACCAAGTATCCAGCAAAGATTGGACCTACAAAAAAGCATTTGAACGTTTTCTAGTTAGTACATGAAAATGCGACTGGACAGTAACGATCGGAAACACGGAAAAGTAACGAAGATCCACAATTTAAAAAAAGTCTTTTAACCACTGGCCATGTCTAGATCTGACTGATTTACAACCATCTAGGGGCTGATACGGAACGGCACAGAGTTTAGAGCTTTAACGTTCTGCCACTATTTTTTTTATTCCCCTTTCATTCGGAAATAGCTTGCGTGGACAAAGAGTCGGTAGGAACGTTAAACCAGCAATGTTGAGATGTGCCGAATGAGGTATGGAAACAAGACTTCCAGAGAGTACAGTGTTGTCTGTGAAGTTGACCGCCCATGACGGCTAGATCATTCGGAGTACCGTCGAAAGTAACAACAGGATGAACAAACAAAGAAGCTTGAGTTCACTGGGATCTACTATCTTTCCAGGCGGGGGCCACAAAATCAAGCAACAATGAGGATAGCATATTTTGCACCCGAAGCTCTCAGGAAGATACCGGAAGCTGCGTCTTGGATGGTACCTGGAGAGAGGCCTACCAATTTGGTTGCAGTGATTCACCGAACTACCAAAGCTTTGCAGCACAACAAACCATGCATTCTGAACCATGTTCAAGCTACTAACGCCCTTATATACAAACCGAAGATGGCACCAAGGCCTGATGGACTGGCGGTCGCTGCTTTGTCAACCCATAGCTTTGAGGTTTTGGCGTGTTTCCAAACTGATGATCCTGCACAAAACGCCCCCCTACATTTTTCTGCCTAAAAAGTACATTTTTAGCACTTAGGAGTGCAGAGCGATAGGTGTTACTTCCGTTGTTATAAGTGTACTCCACAAAGTGATTACTAGACGCTGGTGAACCAACGTCTCTTTTCAATTTGGCTTTCCGAAGATGCACGGAAGTGTAGAGGCCTAGTATGCGATACACAGTATACTCCGAGTAATCACTCGGGAACAAAGTGCGTGACAACGTTTCTGAATGTTAAAAGGGTAGTTTACACGGCAACGCATAACATAATGGTATGAGCGACGAATCGCAATGGAGAGCGTTCGCAGCTAGTTCCTTATCACACACTGGACAATACATGGTCTAAAAAATACTGTAAGAAATAACAGGTAGGGAGCAAAGTGACCCGCAGTTACCTCTAATCTTCATCACGTTGGTGGATGAGGCTCTCGGTAAAACCCTACTGAAGGTGGGGCTTCGGTTTGAAAATGCAAAGGTAGGTGAGTTAGTCTATTTTAAGGATTCGGTACAGTTTGTGAATGATAAATAAAGTATGTGGAACGAACTGGTATGGTTTTAGTTTAGGTTAGAAGTAACTGGTACGAAACGGAACATGGCCAAACGCTGTGCGATAACAATTGGAAAAGCGACTTCCAAGTAGTTTGTTCTTATGCTTGTTTACTGCACCGTTCCAACTGCCTCAGTGGAAGGACTCAATGATGGAGAACCTAACACAAAAACGGGCCTATGAGTTGACTGTTGACGATGCTCACTGATGCAGCATGGACCGAATGGTTAGCAACGGGGTGATACAATGTTGGTATTAATACCCTGACGAAGATAAAGGAGAAAAAGCAGTTCAGCCTCTTGTTGTTGAGATCTACTTCACACAAAGAAAAGTGCAATTGGGTGGTGGGTTCTCCGCACGACAAATGAACAATCTACCGTGGATCCTTATAGCGCTAACCTTCCCGTGAGGAACAGTAAGGAAATGATTAACTTAAAACGGTAAACTCCTCGACACCTGGCTTGACGCTGACGGAGTCGTCGGAATGCAGATTGGTCCATCCGGATAAGCATGAAAACGCCAGTACTATGTGGTTCAAGTGAGCTGATCATGCATTTACGAGCTCGTATATAAGGGCTTTGGAACCGAGGTGTAGAGTTCTGTTTGTATAAGTCCGATAGTCATGACATCGGCTGGCTTGCCGAACTACCTCCTCGTGGTTGCAGCTGGGTGGTTCGGACATATCTTGTTCCAGCGAAGTGTTCGGCGACAGTGTTCCACCTCGGTGGGCCATTGTAGTCCAGCAATTGTGCTGATTACATGAGCAGTATTGGGCCCCTGTTTGGTGATCTAGCAAAGAAAAAGCGCGTGAACTAGACATCCAGTCAGCGCTTCCCAAAGGGAGCGATTAACTGAATTCGCTCCGCTGCCTTGCAGGTAAGTTATTTAGCCAAAGACTCGGAGTGGGGTCCCCTAAGTCAACACCCTACTTCGGCTTGGGCAACCGGGTAGTATCATGCCCTTTCACAAAACCTTGAAGTGTACTACAATGTGCTCATCAGCTACCGTTTCTGCTTCTCACATACACGCGACTTGATCACACGCCAATTGTTGGTTTGCGAAAAATCCTTACTTTCCGTTACACGATTCACGTGTTCAACTATCTGGCTGCGATTCCGGTTGCGCCGCGAACCACGGAGTTCAACCTAGGGCTCTCCTTCGTCCCCGATCTTCGTTCCGTTTGGCGTGCTTCAATGTTCGGACACTCATGCAGATTGGAAAGCAAGCCGGTCTAGCGCGCACCCTAGAGTCCCTCGATACTGATGTCTGCGGCCTTTCAGAAACCCGACTTTAACATCCCAGCACTGTGGTTGCATTTACATCCCCCACTGACCACGAAGCCAGATATCACCTGCGTCTTTCTGGAGATCCAGAAGCAGCCTCAGCGGGTTTGACTGGTGTACGTATAGCACTAAGTGGCAAGGCCGAGGCGGCACTACTGGACTGGTTCCCGATTAACAGCCGACTATGTGCAGTTCGGATTCGGGGTTCATGTAGAATCAACAAGCGCCGCGATGAAAGACACAACTTGTTTATCATCTCCTTGTGCGCTACAAATGACTGCAGTGGCGGCTCGGTCAAGGACGAGTTCTACCGAGATCTATAGCAGCTCTTGACTAGTGCCAAAATGTCGGATGTCGTTGTGCTTACTGGGGATTTTAATGCACGGGTTGGCCGCCTGTTATCATACGAACGTCACCTTGGTGGTCACCATGCGCTCGATGAGAACCGCTCAGATAACGGAGAGAGGCTTCTCATATTGTGCGAAGACAACCAGCTGTTTCTCTCGAGCACTAACTTTAGGTGTAAGGAAAAGCGTTTCGCAACGTGGCGTCCCCCTTCGCTAACACAATGGTGGTCTCTGACTGATCACATCGCACTTAGCATCAGATGGCGTGACAGGGTACTGGAATGCAGGTCCTTTTGGTCCACGTTCGTTGACTCAGATCATGCACTGCTCTGCGCGAAAACCTGCATGTATTTTGCGGGGGTCCAGAAACACGAAGCACCTAAGATGGATGTAAACAGATTAATTGATTCTTTTGGCCAGGCGAGCTACCAGTCTTCACTACCATACATACTCAGTTGCAATCCACCGCAAGACGTGGAGCAACACTGCGCTTGTATACAGAAAGCGGTGAGCATTTCCGGAGTCGAGCCGCGGCCTAGCTCGACGCCCCCTAGAGGCTTGGATCTCTGCTCGTCCTCTGGAGCTGTTCGAACACCGCAAAGATATCCCCGCGGAATCAGATTGCAACGAGCGGCGCCGCTCTGCCAACCGGCTGCTCAAGCAAAACCTACGCAAGGATCGCGAGGCATGGTGGTCTGAGCGTGCTTTAGAGATGGAGACCGCTACCCACTCCAGCAACACTAGAAAGCTTTTTCAACTCCTTCGATCCCCTGGCCTCAGAAAGCTTGGTGTCAGTAAGGTTATTTGCGAGGTGAATGAGTCTCCGAACAACAACCAACAGAGATGTATGGACCGTTGGGCCGAGCACCTTCATTCGCAGTTCAAATAGCCTCCACCTTCCATCAGTACATGCAGTACAACTTGTTGTCCACCATGGCTCGTCCCGCTGAGTCCGCCCAGTGAAGCGGAAGTCTGCCTCGAGATTCGACGCGTGTAGTGGTTCCAGGCTGCCGGCTCAGACGCAGTTCCTCCGGAGCTGTTCAAGTACGACGGTTTGCAAAGATCTGGCATGAAGAGAAAGTGCCTTAGTTTTGGGGCGAATCCGTTATTGTCCCAATTTTCAAGAAAGGCGCTCGTACTTCACGTGTAAATCATGGTGGGATTAGTCTTATTTCGGTTGCCTCTAAGCTATTGGCATCCATTCTGCTCTGTAGACTATCCCCAATACGTGAATCATCCTACCATGAAGAAGAAGCTGGTTTCCGTCCCGGCCGCGGATGCGTGGATCAAATCTTCACGCTCCACCAGCTCCTCGAACATCGCCACAGGCTCACTATCGTTACATTCCTAGACATACGTGCCGCTTTTGACTCTGTTGATCAACCTGTTTTGTGGCGTTGCTTACTAAAGAACGGGGTGCCAGAGAAATACACCGCCATCTTACACGCATTTTACCTTCATACATCCGGCAGAGTGAGGCTCTATGGTAAGCTTTCCTCGCAATTCGCTGTCAATAGCAGTGTGCGACAGGACTGCCCTATGTCCCCATTCCTCTTCAACTTCGCAATCGAAGATGTTCTGTCGAATGCTCTAGAAGGTTTCCAAGATTTTGGCCTAGAGCTTCTACCGGGTGAGCGCGCGACCGACTTAGATTATGCTGATGTTATCGCCTTACTTGGTGACAATCCTCAGGGTATGCAACTCACGCTAGCACATTTGGCGATTGAAGCATCTAAGTATGGCATCAGCTTCTCCCCATCGGAGCGTAAAGTACTGCTCAAGGATTGGCTTTCACCTGCTCCCGTGCTCACTCTCGAAGGTGAAAAACTTGGACAGGTAGGTAGTTTCGTCTACCTTGGGAGTTCTGTTTCTGCTGACGGGACAATCAACAAAGAAGTTTCTCTTCGTATCGCTAAAGCTCGATCAGCATTTGACAATCTTAGGCATTTATGCCGTCGTCGCGATGTCTTATTCTCGCTAAAGGGCTACGTTTACAGCGCATCAGTTCGCTCAGTATTGTTGTATGTGTGCGAGTCCTGGCCGATTCGCGTGGAAGACAT